CCTCAGAATCATATATACTTTTTTTTTTTTTGTTTACTCTGACTCTTTTATTTTATTTACTTATTAAAAATGTTTTATTTAATAATTGTATATATATTTGTAAATAGATTACTTATTAAGTATTTATTTTGTAAATTTTTTTATTAGAGATACTTTTTTTTTTCTCACTGTCTGCTTTGTTTATTTATATTTAGAGGTATGGATTCTGATAAGAATATTTCTATTGATGAATCAGATGTAGATAGTCCGTTCTCCGAAATTAGTGAGACGAATTCTCAGTACTTAACAAGGCGAACTCTCCAAAAGCGCCACAGAAACTCTGCCCCCGGGTCGGCGGGCAACTCACCAAATAAAAAAAAAAACAAATCCGCTAAATCAAAGCAGCCACTCAAAGCAGACAAAAATAAACAATTAAAAACTAGCACTAATAATAATTCAGCTATGAAAGCTGAAACTAAACCACCTACTAGCATATCCAGCAACAATTCTGTTGCAGCCAATAATAAAATAAGGACACCACTGAACCAAGGACTTTCACCGAACCTGAGCCACCACCGATATATGTAAGCAAAATTGACAACTTCATGCAGTTCGGTCAAGAAATAGCTAACCTGATTGGACAGACCAACTTCAGGTGTTTTTCTCGTGTCAATGACAAAGATTAACACAAACACCAAAGACGATTATAAAAAACTTATTAATCATTTGACAGCACGAAACTATGACTTCCACTGCTATCAATTAAAAGAGGAAAAAACCTATAGGGTCGTTTTGAGAGGTCTCTACTCAACCACTCCTACAACCGCTGTAAAAAAAGATCTTGAAGATATCGGTAAAGGGGACCCTACACGGTCAATCGGAATTGCACTAATGACGTTCCGAATTGTCGTGTAAGGTAGTGAATGAAGTACTGATGGTGGTGCGCTGCGGATCTCCGAACATCCGGAAATCAATGGTTCATTCACGAGAAGTGGAGGGGGGACTGAGGTAAAAGTAGTGTGGAGACTAACCATACTGCTGGATAGGTTAGGTTACCTAGGCCTCACAACCATTATAAATTTCTGATTTTCATTATATGTAAATAGTTAAATAATTTTTCATATCCCTTGTTTATAATTTTAAACCATCTTCAACTATTTCTTTTAAATAGTCAAGTGGGCAACAAATTAAAAAAAAAAATTAGGAAACTTCACAATTTACTTTAAGAAAAAAAAAAAACTTTAACGATGTGTATATTTATCAGTTCTTTTCCCATTTTCCTCAACAAATTTATTATTTTCGCAATACCTTTCCTTAATTTTTGTAAGTAGTATACTTATATTTTACCAACTTTTGTCAAAACGATTTTCTATGAGACTAACCTTCTATGAGACTACTACTAGATAGGTTAGTTTAGTCTATATTATTATTAACCATTTTCAACAATTTTTTCTTTAAATAGTCAAGTAGGCAATAAATTGAAGGGAAAAAAACTTCACAATATACTTATAGAAAAAAAATCTTTAAATATTTTCCAAACTTTGGTCTAAACGATTTTCAGGCACTAGGAAGTAATTATTATATCTCCGTTTTTCTCTTGATACCCAATATTATAAATGACAATGTCCAAATAAGCATATATATGCTGTTTCTTTGTTTAAAACTGAGCTAAATTGGTATCAGCAACGATAAGTAATGATCAGTAATGATTGAACGTGTCTTCTTCATGATAAAAGCGATCGCGGGCAATCTTGGAACTTCTTGTGACTTTCATTCATGAATTACCGTGTAGGGTCTGCGTATGACATGTAATCTTCTGTTTTACATCAAATCGACAAATATCCACTGCCATTATTTTTCATTGATTTAGAACCAGCCCGGAATAATTCTGAAATCTTTGTAGTCAAAAGACTGTTGTATTCAACTTTAAAATTTGAAGAACCAAGACAGAAGCATATAGTCGTGCAATGCACCAAGTGTCAAAACTTAGGTCATACAAAGGCCTACTGTCATCACTCGGCGCGGTGTGTCAAATGTGCCGGTCCTCACGCCTCTGACACCTGCCAGAAACCGTTGAATGAACCAGCAAAATGTGCCCTCTGTGGTGAGGACCATCCTGCTAGTTATCGGGGTTGCATGGTCTATAAGAAGATCTATAAGCAAAGGACTTAAAACATATCTCTAAAAAACCACGAACAGAAGATTCCTAACCAGGCACAGGTACCTGAACTTCAAAATTTCGCAACGTTTCCGGAATTGCCGAACGAGATAGCATCACGTCGTTAACAACAGCCCTCTACATCAACATATCATCTCCATCAGGACTCCAGGCAACTATATTTAGGCACCATGGTGAAGAATCAGCCGCCATGTCAGACACCTCAGATTTCCAAAACTAAGACTCAAGCTTCCAATCCTAAGATCTAGAACTCCCAATCCCAGACTCACACCTCCCACATTCAGTCAAATTTTCCAAGTCAGCAAATGCCTCTTCATCAGATACCTCTACGAGCAAAATTACCTCCTGAGCATCCAACTCCGGTTTACTCCCACCCTACTGCCCACATTAACTCTTCTTCCCAAGTTCCATCTATTTATAACCCAGCTCCTAGTTCATCACGACATGTACAACCTTCATCAGAGACTTCTTATCATAACAGCTATCTCTCACGAATCCGTGATTAAAACCCACCTGAGCAACAGAACCCGATCGACTTAATAAACTCCACCCTTGCCTCCTTCCTGAAAGATCTTCAAGAAACTACCAAGCCCCTAATCACCCTCCTCACAAGAATCCTTACCGAAATTCCTTTTAATCTCCCACGATGAGCACAAAGCCCTTAGTTGTTCCTTTATGGAATGCTAACGGTCTACACAACCACAGAGACGAACTAGACATTTTTCTTCATGACAACCACATTGATATTGCTCTACTGACAGAAACTCACTTCACTCGACGTTAATATTTCTACATACGTGACTATATCACTTATAGATCAGACCATCCCGACGCAGCATATTCGTATCTTATTAAGGGAAAAACGCAGAGGAAGATCGAAGTGGCACAGGACTAGATACCAATCCGATAAGACATATTACAACAAATTAACTAACCAACTAAAAGCTGAAATTAGAAAATACAAAGTTCAAAATTTACTTAACATGACAGAAAAACTTACTACTTCTGACAAATCACTATGGTTGACCACTAAAAAGCTCCTTAAATTCAAAGATTTTAACCACCAACTTATTACTGAAACCCAAACCTGGTCCAGATCTGACGAAGAAAAATCGCAAATATTTGCTCAGAACCTCTCAAAAACATTTAATCCACACCCAGATATCCTTAATCCAACCCACCTTGAGTTTATTGAAGCAGAATTGGATATCCCACTCCAATTGACTCCTCCACCTAAAGCATTTCATCCTTCACAAATATCCAATATCATTCATAGATTACCTTCCCGCAAAGCTCCTGGCTATGACCTAATCACATCTCAGATCCTAAAAAAGCCATACTGTTCCTAACCTATATATATATAATGCTGTACTCCGAACCACATATTTTCCTGACTCTTGGAAACTATCCATTGTCAAAATGATACCTAAACCCATCCTCCATCGCCTATCTCTCTTTTACCCATTATGGGCAAAATCCTGGAAAAACTTATCTTAAAACGCCTGTATCCCATCCTAGACTCTAAACACATTATCCAAGATCACCAATTTGGATTCCGCACATCCCACTCCACTATTCAGCAATGCCATCGTGTGGTCGATGTAGTCTCCTCTGCATTGAAGCGTGAAATGTACTGCACGGGAGCCATTCTCGACGTTGAACAGGCGTTTGATAGAATCTGGCGTCCGGGACTGATGTACAAACTCCGTAAATTCCTACCACCTACATACTTCCTCATTATCCGTTCCTAGTTCAAAGTCAATCATAACAATGCTCATTCATCCCTTTTTACTCAGTTTGCCGGTGTTCCTCAAGGTAGTATCCTAGGTCCTGTCCTTTACAGTTTATACAGCTGACATCCCAACCCAATCCAACACTGTTATCACCACCTATGCCGTGTATCGTATCAGTTAATAACGATCCATCTATTGCATCCCAAACGCTTCAATCACACATCACATGGCTTGAAAAATGGTGTCAGAACTGGAGGATTAAAATAAATTCCAATAAATCCCATCAAATTACCTTCACTCTTCGCCGTAAACCTATGACTTCCTGTCCTACAGTATCCTTCAACAATAGCCCCAATAGCAACATTATCCCTGTCGAACAAATCCGATACTTAGGACTCCACCTTGACAAACGACTCACTTGGAACCCCCATACCAGACTGAAACGACTTGAAACCGCCCGACGTTTTCGACTACTGCAGCACTTACTAGACAAACGCTCTAAGCTCACAATCAATTACAAACGACTCATATATATGACAATAATAAGACCTATTTGGACCTACGGAATTGAGCTTTGGGGCTCCACTATTATCGAATCCATCTAATTCCACTATCCATCGAATTCCTCTCATATCCAATCCTTACAATCCAAAATCCTTAGTAAAATCTTCAACGCTCCTTACTTTGTCACAAATAAAATCATCCATAAAGACATTAATGTTCCATATGATTCCGATTTGGCAAAATCCAGATACCTATCCTTCCATAACAAACTGCTGAACCATCCGAATCCTCTCGTTTCAAACCTTGCTTCCTCCTCGATCCCTAATAACCCTCCGAGGTGTCTGAAAAGAAGATGGCCTCGGGACCTTCTAATATAGAACTTTAATTTGAGTTCTACCAATGGGTAGTTTCTCTTCATCTTGTACATGTCATGTTACCAATGTCACATTTACTTATCGTATTTTCCATGTAATACAGTTGTAAATCTCAATAAAATAAAATATAAAAAAAAAAAAAGTAGATCAGTAAGTGAATGTTGTGTGTTGCGCGCACCAGATTTTTTATATGAATTCTATTTAATGCAATAATTGTTTCCTTATGTTTAGTTTTAGATATAGGTCCGAATACACAAGGAGGTAAACACTGCACTGCAACAACATGTTGTCCTTTTTATATGTTCTGTTGTAATAATAACATGAGCTGCTGTAAAATCTATCGCAAGTAAGTAAAACGAGTAATTTTCTTTTCTTTTATTTTCGAAAATTCCTGAAATTGACATAACGACAAAATTAACTTTGTTCTAGAACAATACCAGCTTCGGCGAGTTATTGCTGAGATGTGAATTCAAACAGATTTCAGGGTCGTTTCTAAATAGTTTTATTTATTCATCATAGATGATCAATTTGTATAGTTTAAAAAAAAGTTGTTTTCAATTAATAAAAAGTTTGTTATAAAAAGTCTTCTTCTTCTTCTTCTTCAATAGAGCAGTAACCATTGAAAGTCCTGGCTACTTCCAACAACAACCGCCTTGCCTCTCTATTCTCTGCCGCTGCCATCCAGGTCCGCAACATTAAATTTGTTCTTGCGTCATGAGCTACACAATCTGCAAATCGCAGCTTCAGGCTTCCAAGTCTTCGACGACTAAAAGGAGCTCGTCAGCCATTCTGGCTAGATGCCCTGCCCATCCGAGCCTTCAAATCTGGAAGAAACAAAAGATATCCGACATGATGTAGAACAAACAGCTTCCGATTGTTTCACATCATCCCTTCATTATATCATACACAGCGACGTAAATAAGATTTAATGATTTCCGTTCAAATATGAGGTGTCGTCTTCAGCTATGATTATGGTCCATAATATAGTACAGGACAAATGAGAGTCCTATAAATGGTAAGTTTTGTACATCTGGTATTCAAATTATTGATATGTTTCCAGAATCCAAAATAGTAACGATTGGCAGCGAATATTCTCGTTCGAACCTCCATTGTTGCATCATTGTAGCAGGTTACCACTGAACACAGCTTGACAAACTCTGAGACATGTTCAAACCTATAGTGTCAAAAACAAAGCTGGAGGATAAAAATCTTTACTGTAGTCATAAAATCTTATCTAGAATAGCAGCCGGCAAATTAAGATGTTGTAAACTATTTTGAATGCACTGGGAAGCAGAGATATTTCTTTATATTTAGTTCATTTAAACATGTCTTCCTTTTTGGTTTATTATTTTCAATGATTAAACTTTGTAATCGACCAAGAAAAAAAAAGTTAACACCCTCAACATTTTCAGTTTTACGTTTAAGATACGTAGAATCCGAAAATAGAATTAAACAAAATACGTCTGACCGCCACACAGTGAGACGATTGAAAAATCGAAGTGGAAAAAACTGTAACAATTGATATTTTATTTTTATTCCAGCTGTGGATTTAATTGCCGTAGAGGCACATAATATTCTACTAATTTATGTGCCAATATAATGGGAACAAGTAGAGAAACAGGTAGAAATAATAAATGAAAATGAAGATATATATATATATATATATATATATATATATATATATATATATATATATATATATATATATATATATGTAGGGTGTTTCGTAATTGCACTACTTTATTTTAGGTATTTGTTCACTAACAAAAAATAAACAAAAAAGTTCATATTAACATATATTTCAAACTCCTTTATTAAACATATATCAAAGGTTAAAGATTAATTATTTAAATACTACATTAAGACTGACTGTACAAAGTTTAACGTGTTTAATACTAAATAACAGGTTTAAATCACCTGATAAACAAATGAACGATAACGTTTGTCTAGTTCTGTGTGTTTTAGTGTGAGTGAATACTGTGACACAGTTCAATATATGATTATCATGGGAGACAACATAAATTTATTCAGATTGGAAAACAAACGCATGCTTTTAACTTAAGCCGAGGTACATAGAAACGGCGCTGCTGCTCTTCGAAGATATCGTGAAAAATTTCCTAATATAAGATTACCAAATCGCAAAACGTTTCAGGCCATTGAAAGACGCTTTAGGGATAATGGTAAGTTAAAACGGTACTTCTCTCTTAGCGGGTAGAGTCCGACTGCTATCCGCCAATGTTTATAACCTTAACACTTATAAGCTCTGCGTATTCGTATATATTGTATTATATTCATTTTATTATGTGTTCGTATTCATATTGATTGTATTGTATTGATTATTGAAATTGTGAACAAAAACAGAAACAAATGTAATAATAAATGCTTTTATTTCACAACGTATATTTAAAAATACTTTTATTTCACAAAGTATATATTAAAATATACCAAAACATAAATATATTGAAAAACATAAATATATACCAAAACATATATATCGTAAAAACATAAATATATACCAAAACATAAATATATAATTAAAAAACATTACGAAAACATTGCAACATATATACAAAAATAAATGAAATAATAAAAATAGGCCAAAAATAGACAAAAAAGGATTAAATAATAAAAAACTACTTTAACAGGATATGTACATATAAAACAAAGATTATGAATAAACGATGGAAACAAAATATGAAAAATTTTATTTTGGTATGGAAAATAATTTTATCGTATTTAAAATAGCGAGGAAGAGATCCTGATGTTTATGCGCCCGCCGCCACAAAAACTCACATAAATATGAATCCAGGTGTTTTTTGGCAGTTCCTCTGCGTTTTTTATTTCTCCACTTGGCTGAGCCCCATAATCTTTCGATGTGTTGAGTATGGACTCCACTTGATGGATCAACAAAATTATATGTGTGATTGACCTGAAAATGGTCGTAGTTTGCTTCATTCAGTTCTTTTGTGTTGTATCCTTTCCAACAGTCGGAATAAATCGTGCTTCTCTCTTCTACATTGTTTTTGATAGCTTCTAATAAAGTCCCTGCTCTCCTATCCTTTATTTTAACTATAAAACACTCGTCTGTTTCTCGGCAAACTCCGCCAAACATCCACTGCTGAGGTAAGACTCTCCCCATATGATTTTTTCTTTTCGAAAAAAGACTCTCGTCTTCTTCGACGACTTTGCCAGGCCCTCCAATTTTTTTATTCGACCGGTATAACATGTCATGGGCACAAACTTCTCTTAAAAATTTGTTCCATGCTACGACAGTTTGGGTGGATAGTTTGAGCTGCTCTTTCCCTCACTGAATTGTAGTTAAATTATGGGACCACCCATAAATGAATTTTAAAGCCGTCAAAAAAGAAATCCTGGACCCCTCTAACCACGTTTCTTTCCTTATAGAAACGGTTTTGTTACACCTACGAGAGCATCTCCATTTAATCTTCCCGTCGAACTTCATTTTACGACCATCACAATAAACACAATATTTCACCTTATCAAATATCCCGGCGTCTTGAAAATATTTGATAGCCTCTTCTTCCGAAGACGGCAATTCCCACAATGTGACAACATCCATAATTCCAGTTGAAACAAAACAACACAATATTAACAAAAGAACACAATATAATACTAAACAACACAATAACTTAAAGAACAACTAAACTAAAGAACAAGAAAAACTAAAGAACACAATAACTTGAGAAACGAGATTGGGTCGATAAGGGATGTTATCTGAAACGAGATGGTTATCTGAAACGAGATGGTTATCTGAAACGAGATTAGATAAGAAGGAAGGTTTCGACTCTACCCGCTAAGAGAGGAGTACCGTTAAAACCTATACGAGTAAACGCTGGTAGACAAAGATTTCGACGAACTGCAATAGTTGAAAAAGAAATACTCGATGTTGTTCAGTTATCTTCTACTACTAGTACCAGAAGATTGTCACGTCGTTTCGATATTTCCTCTACCAGCGTATGGCGAACTTACACTAACAACGATAGTATCCATTACACGTATGGAATAGGCAAGATTTGTTACCACAAGATTACAGCAAGCGCAGAAATTTCTCCCAGTGGTCAATTCGACAATGCACATGAGATCCTAACTTCCTGAACTGCGTTTTGGTTACTGATGAATCTTGCTTTACAAGAAACGGGATTCCTAATTTTCGAAATACTTGGGCTGAAGAAAACCCTTATACGACTGCTGTTGGACATTAACAACATACCTTGTCCTTAAATGTCTGGTGTGGTCTTCTAAGAGACAACATCATCGGCCCCTTCTTTTTGCCACCTAGGCTGTCAGGTATATCTTACTTGCATCGTTTGCAAAATGATCTTCATGAACTCCTAGAAGACATTCCGCTAAGCATTGGGCAAAGGCTGTGGTTTATGCATGACGGTGCTCCAGCTTACTTTTGTAATAGTTTCACTGATTATTTAAATGTAACTTATGGAGACCGATGGGTGGGTCGAAACGGACCTGTTAAATGGCCACCACGATTTCCATATTTAACACCATTAGATTATTTTATTTGTGGTTGGGTGAAATATATTGTTTATTGTGCTGCAGTTGGCACGCAAAAAGAGCTAAGAAATATGATCGTGGAAGCCACAGTAACTATCAAGCACCATCCTAATGCTATACGAAGAGCCAGAGAAGCATGGATTCGTCGTGCTGAATGTTGCATTAAACAAAACGGAGGCTTTCTCTAATAATACTAAACCCAAGACCCGTCATGGGTTGCAGTGGTACAGGTAAAAAAGACAGGGACTACGTCGCATGAAACAGTGCCAATCCCAGCGGGGGTGGTACCTCTCGACTCCCTCCTGCAAGAAGAAGTGACCTGGCATGATTACAAGATGGAGGGCTAAACAGATCTTTCGGAGAACCTACGGATGATCATTATTGAAAAGCCTAGTAAAGGAAAATGACAATCCGGGAGGAAACCATTGAAGAGTAAGTGATGGTAATGTGGAAAACACATTGAGTATATATCTCGATTCCTGAGGGAATATCAAAGTGCACATTGTTGTCTGTTAGTTTTAATTATTTCTTCAGAACATTGAAAAGGTAAGTTGAACTGGCATTTTCGTTCTGTTTTCGAAAAGATTGGTTTAGAGTTTTATAAACCGATGATCCTTAAAATAAATCGGTTCACAAGGATAAAATCTAAATGGTACGAATGTATTCCTTCTTTTTTTTATGATACAAAAGTGTACCCTCTTGGTGTTGTTAAATTATTCGGATTAATAATTCTAATATTCGAAAAATAGTATGAACCGAAAAAAACTCAATTCACGCTTTTATTTATTTTATGGTGAATTAGACTGTAGGAGCAGGACAACCCATATGATTTAATTTAATTTGATAAACTATCGATATCATATGTGAATAATATAATGTGTTCAGATGTTTTTTATGGTTATAAAATATAATGTTTTGTGACTATAAATT